CCCATACTTCTGTTTCTTTACATTGTTGACAAGTGCATGTTTGGCACAAATTTTCTATCATGTTTTTACAGCGATTTTATTCTTTCCTCCCACTGATGGAACCGGTTGTCGGTTGTTCATAGGTTGTTTCTACAGATCAAGTTTTGTCCAGTGATTGAGACTAGCTCTTTCTAAGGGGCCCAACTGAGTAGGTTAAACCTTCCCTATACACCTGAAGACGGAGACAGATCCAGTCTCCGAAACGTTGTGGTTTTTTTGTCTTTTTTATATACCGGACGATGGGTGAAGTCCAAAATAAGCCAAAAGAAGTACAGATTTGCTGTCCAGCTTTCACTTCTTTAGATTTCACAACAAATTTTTTTTTTACAGAGCAAGGTCATCAGACTTGTATCCAACCCCCCAATCTGGATGACCAGGTTCCTGTATTTATGTCCCCCAGTGACAGGGTGGCTTAGTTATACCCCCAGGGACCAGGTTCTACAACAGAATACTAAGGATATATTTCAACCTGAGAGAGATGAATTAAATGTACAATTTAGAATGTTACGTAATGAAGAGCTTTGTGATTTATGCAGGTCATATAGTGTTAGCATAGTCAAATCGAGGAAGTGGCAGAAAATTTTATTGGGGAAGCTTCTTGGAAAGTAGTTTCTTTGAAGTTCATAAGGAAGTAGGAGAACAATATTAATATTGATTTTTAGGTATTTACCTTGTGAAGATGTGAACTAGTTGTCACTTAATACTTAATGTTTATTACAGATTGATGGCCGAACTCAGTCCATCAAGCGTGCTTATGACAATGGCACACACACTGGTCCAGCTTTTGTGCCGTCTAGTAGTACCCATTTCCCATTTGACATGGCATTGGACCCATATGCAAGACTTCTCTACTGGACCTGTGCTAACACAAATGCTATCAATGTGACAAGGCTGGATAATGGTTCAGCTGTTGGCACTGTGGTCAAGGTCGATGGAGAGAAACCATGTAACATCATTTTGCATCCAGAGAAAGGGTGTGTAAAATATTGCAACTCTCTTTTTTCTTCAGTTTTTCATAGGTTGTGGTATATTTAATGACACTATCAGTAACTCAGACTACAGTAAACTCCCAGTTTCCAAGCATGCCGGATCCTCACGTGCGCAGCAAACCTTTCAAAGAAAATTTTCTCTTTTTATAAAGTTACTTCAAAAACAAAGTTGTTATGGGAGTATGTTCACCCACCACACAGTAGTTCTCCAGGCTGCCACTAGTAGTGGTAAGTAGAGCCAAATGAATCCAGTCCATACACCCTATCCTATTTTTGTAAGATTCATTTCAATATTTTCGTCCCACCATTGTCTAGATCTCCCTAGTGGCCTCTGTATATCTGGCTTTCCAACCAAAACAATGTATACATTCCTGTTCACTCTCATCTCATTCATCTTGACTTGAACATTTTAATTATATCTGGTGCAGAGTGCAATTTATGAAGCTCCTCATTATACACCTTCCTACCCTCTCCTATTATTTTGTCTTTCTTGGGTCCAAATATTCATCTCAGCACCCAGTTCTCAAGTACTCTCAGTCTGTGTTCTTCCAGTAATGTAAGAGACGAAGTTTCAGCACAGTAGAATCTATTTATTGTTGACTGACTGTTGCTACTGAAGGACTGTGCTCAATTTTTAATTGGGGGATGGTGTTATGGCGTGTCTGTTCACTATATCAGCCCAGGCTCTAAATGCCACAGTGACATGTGCTACTGCTCGCATAGCCCTTGTTCATAATAATTTCTTTTCTTCAATTTGTTAGTCATTCATTTGAAATTTATGCAAAACTGAACTATGTAGTAACTAATACTGTGGCAACAAAACCCAAAGATTCAATACCACTAGTACCAAAGCCCACCATCAGTCATGATTGTGATTAATTTCCATCAAAATCCCATCCTCACAGCATATCTCTGTAACATGCATTTCAGTATATTATACGTGGGGCAATCCAAAAGTTTCCGAAATTTGAATTTTGCACACGAATGGTTATGAGTACATCGAAATACCACTAGGTGTCTCCTCACACAACCTTCCTGAATCAGTGTGGCAATCGGCGTCGAGTTGAGTGGTTGGGTTTATTGTTGGTGAACATATCTCCATTCTTGTGTTTCCGTGAGTTTGCGGTTTTGCGATGGCTGACCTGAGAGAACAGCGTGTCTGTATAAAGTTTTGCTTCAAACTTTGTAAAACCGCTACAGAAACGCACCACATGTTGAAGCAAGCTTTTGGTCAAAACAGTTTAGACCAGACACAAACTTACAACAGGTATAGGCGTTTCAAAAATGGCCGAACATTGACTGATGATGATGGTGTAAGCGCTCCCAACGGGACTACTTTGAAGGTGATGGTGCAGAATAAGATCTAGGTAAGATGTAATAGTTTTTATTAATATATTTCCGGAACTTTTGGATTGCACCACATATTTAAGCATCCTGTTGCACTATACACTTCTATATGTAATAATACAAATGCCGTCATGAATGCAACAGCTATTTGGTTGTAGTTCTTTGTCTTTTCTTCCTCTACACTACATGTTTCGGCCGCAACCAGCCATCATCAGGTGTATTTTTCACTACGTAGCTGTCACACTGTACACAATCTACATTTTTTTTAATTTTAAATAAAAATTCTAAAATCAAAATTTTAAAAATTAAAAAAAAATTTAAATTAGAATTCTAAAATCAAATTGACGAGCGTATGTTGGCGAGATTTTAAACAAAACTGACAGGCTGGTGTTTTAGATTTTAGATTGTGTGCAGTGTGACATCAACATAGTGAAAAATACACCTGATGATGGCCGGTTGCAGCTGAAACATGTAGTGTAGAGGAAGAAAAGACAAAGAACTACAACCAAATAAATTGTTGCATTCACGACGGCATTTGTATTATTACATATAGAAATGCATTTCAGTATTATCTTTGCATCTCTTTTCTCTCACAATCATGTCTTATTCATGAACTGATATTTCTTCTTTTTTATTTACCCTGCATTTTCAGGTTAATGTTCTGGACGGATGTTGGGTCAGTACCACAGATCATACGGGCTAACATGGATGGGAAATCACGTGTGGTCATTGCATCGCACTTAGAGAATCTGGTTGCATTAGCAGTTGATAGGGTGGCAGACCTGTTATTTTGGGCCCAGCCTAATCAAATTGAGTCATCAAATTTGGATGGAAAAGAAAGGTATGCGAAATCTATGTGACATTGTAGAACATGAGCGTATATTGAATGTTTTAAGGTTACTTGAATCGTGGCCACGAAACATAATCAATGTTTGCATCCATTGTCATACTGTACATACGAGTAGCTTACAGCTTAAATGCGTGGTGTGGGAATTTGTATAGTATCTTTATAAAAGGATTCGTAGTTCTCATGTAGTCCTTAACGAGATCACATTTTTTTATTCGCAGCAGAGTGAGATTAATCCCACCTACTAATCCTGTCATTTGAACAATTTGTAACCTGTGGTAATCAGGGCTGTAATGAAGCCAGGGCTCTTCCATCGTTCTTGTTTTAAAGACGCTGACATGAAACATGAATGTAGGGATTTGAGGTTGTCACAGCAGTGGTTATGGAGAGTTCTACCTTCTGGGGGCTGCATGGCATATCCCCGAAGATGGAGCTCTTCATGAAATATTAAGCTCATATAGCTCATTTAATTTTCAACGTCTGAGATGGAAGCATGTGTTATGTGAGATGCATGTTCAATTTTGCATTTAAAAGTGTAAACCTGTTATTAAATGTAAGCAAGATGGGCTTGTATCATGATTGATTTCCCCCTGGAGCTGTGTGCCAGTTTACCTTTTGTGCAGGTGATGAAGGTTGTTAAATGAATGGAATTCAGAAGGAGCATTTTGAGTTTCTTATGGTCAGCATTTTGCATTGTAGATAAATTAGGTGGGATGATTTAATCATGCAGATGACAGAGTTTCTCTCTTTGCAGGAAAGTATTGGTGAGAACAGGTCTGGTTCTTGTGTCAGGCTTAGCTGTGCATGGTGAATACTTGTACTGGGTGGATAAAGACCAGTCACAGATCGAACGAGCAAATAAGACTGATGGTAGCAGTCGAGGTACTGTGTTAACACGGTTGGCTCACCTGGTGTCTATAATGGCAGTTAATTTTCCTACTGAGAAGGTAAAAAAATACAGTAACTGAACCCAAACGATCAGAGCTTTAATTCCAAAACCTATCACTAGATGGATATAATCCTGAGCCAGTACAATCTGTTGCACATTCTCATTATAACAACATTCTTTTTCATTTTAATGTTATCTTTCTGGCCCCTTCGTGATCCTCCTAGTGGCAGATTTTGAGAATTATGGATATATTTCTTGCTTCCCCAATTTTAGTGACATTTGTAGGTCCACTTTGAACTCCTTGACTTTTAAATACTTGATACCTTTCTGATAGTGGAACCAGTAAGTTCAATCACTCCTAAACTCAAATCCTGCCATCAGATGTCCTGGAACAGGGAAACCCATTGTACAGTCATGAAGCCTGTTTCTTTATGATCTGTTTTAAAAGATTGTTTTTCTCTCCCGACAGACCACTTTCCAAGAGTTTCCTATACCAAAATTCCACATATGGTACTTGTTTCCTTTATTCTAGCTACCTGTTAAGCAAATGACAGTTGCTCATTATCTGTATGTGTTATCATTAATCCCTCTATCATATAGTAAACATTCTTGGCTTCTTGCCTTTGGGTTTCTTAATGTATGTATAAGCTGGAATAGCTCAGTTGGTATAACAACAGGCTGCAGGCTGGAGAGGCAAGATTTGATTCCTGGCAGGGGCAAGAGATTTTTCTCTTTTCCATTGTGTCCAGACCAGCTGTGGGGTCCACCCAGCCTCCCGTCCAGTGGGTATTGAGGGCTCCTTCCCGTGTAGGTAGTGCGGCTGGAGCATGAAGCTCCATCTTATGCTAGGGCCAAAAATATTGGAGCTATGCTTCCACACCTTCATACATCTTCACAGTGTGGTTCTTGGGAATTAGTTAAGCACAGCGACAACTTTACCTTTGTATTATGTACATGCATAGTAATGAATACATGCATCTTATGCTGTGTTACAGATGTATTCGAAACATGGTTGTAGTGCAGATCGCCGCCAGGCTGGCTGTTCTCATCTGTGCATGGCCGTGCCCTCTGCCTCTACCAGTGGATCCAATGCCATCCCAGTCACCTGTTCCTGCCCACAGAGTTTGGTCCTTCATGAAGATGGGCGAACATGCAGTGCACTTCCTGCATGTGGGCCAGATCATTTCACCTGTGCAAACCCTGCTGGGTCTAACAAAGACTGCATACCGAATACTTGGCGATGTGATGGACAGAATGATTGCCCTGATGCTAGTGATGAAGTCGGCTGCCCTGATTGCAAGCCAAATGAATTCCGTTGTGATACTGGACAATGTATAGGTGAGCCTATTTCAAAGTAATAGTGGGAGGTGTTCAGCTTGTGCAGCACAACATTAATGCATGTAGAGGAGGCCAACTTATCTTCTGTTCATCCAGCCACATATTTTGTATCAAGAACTACTGAATGTATCTTTCATGAGGCAACTTTAACCATTATCATTCAGTAATACGTGATTTGAGCTCCCTCAGTACCATATTTTGCTACTCAGATTTTAATTCAGGGATAACAGTTTGTCATTCATTAATAAAGGATATTAAATCCCCCTGTATTATGGGACTGGCAGTCATATTTTAACTCAGGGTTAACAGTATTAGTATTGAAAAAAATACGGCACTTCTTACTGGACTCTGCTGATATGCTGTTGTAATGCAACACACAGCTGCTAAAGGTCCATTTTGATTTGTATTGATGTATTACAACCNCACACCCCCCCCCCCCCCGGGTTTTAAATGATGCCCAGATTTAACTTGAAAGACAGTTGACAGTGCAAAAGGAGTTTGTCATTAATGGGAAATATGTATCTCATTAAGGTTTACGGCTTTTATTGGGAACATTTTTCATATGAAGAATATGTGCTGAAGTACTCTGTGCAGATGGATGTGTATACTATGAGTCGCTTTGCAACAGTAGATTTGTATCTGCAATAAATGAAGTATGGAAAATTTGCAAAGAATGCAGCTGGAAATCTTGTATTCCCCAGGTTAAGATACTGTACACCTCTCCTCGTGTTGTGAGTACATTTCTGAGACACTTCCTGTGCAGGTTGGGTTAGGCTGAAATGCTTATGACTTGTGTTCAGAAGGTATGCCATTTGAATCTTCTCTG